TACACGTTGTCTAAATAGATTACATAGTTTACATTGTCTACGCGTTGTTTACACCAGACGTAGACAATCTTTGTTTACGTGTAGATGCCCATCCCTCTGCTATTTTTTCGGCCGAGGAGTAGGTACATACTTCCCAGACTAGGCCGGAAAGTAATCACTTCCTGGCCCAAGTAATCAGTGAAAAATATATAGTTTCCTAAGTAAAACGCATCCGGAAAGTATGTACTTTCAGAATGGTTGCCGAGCTAAAAACCTTGCATACAATATTTCAGATACTTGTTACATGAACAGACATACTGTCTGTTAACTCTCCAAAAATGTCTCGCCTACGAATTTGCCATGCGTCATTTTGCATAATATAACCTAGAACCCCCCCGAAAGAATTTGAACTTTCCGATGTCCATATGGTGAAGAGGGCCCGCTGTAGTCTTGTAGCAGGGCAATAAGCGCACAATATACAGGGTGTTCCATTTAAAAGATATAACTTTATACTACTTCTAAAACTGACTAAAGTTGACAACTTTTATTGACAATTTGTTACTATTATTTTTATACAGTACTGCAACCCTTAAATATCTTCAAAACCGCTTAAGCCGCATACACATAATTCGAAATATGACAGTTTTTGGGCATGCGGGATTGAACAGTGCTATCGGCAATGTTGCCAGATTTCCTAGTTTTGCGCCACACTTACAGTTGTATGCAACATCCTCTTTTAACTTAAAAGCGCTTTTCGAAACTGGTCCCTTTTAAAAATATGTATTCTGAACCTCACAAATTTTTAAAGGTACCAGTTTTAAAAAGCGCTTTTAAGTTGAAAGGGGATGTTGCATACAGCTGTGGGTCTTTTTGTTATGTTAAATCGAATACCCCATTTATTTTTATTGCAATGAATTGGGCGTGCCAAATTTGATATGATTCCAAATTTTCAAAATTCTATCTCTACTAGTTGCTGAAATATGCCAACACCGCATTTTCAGTAAAAAGTACTGCAACGCTTAAATATCTTTAAAACCGCTTGAGCTGCGTTGACACAATTCGGAATCTGACAGTTTTAGGGCATGTGGGATTAGACAGTGCTATCGGCAATGTTGCCAAATTTCTCAGTTTTACGCTACACGTAGTCTTGTTGTTAGCTTGAATAGAATGCAACATTTATTTTTATTGCAGTGAATCGGGCGTGCCAAATTTGATAAGACTCCAAATTTTCAGTTTGCTAAAATATGCCAACACCGTATTTTCAATAAAAAGTATCGCAACGCTTGAATATCTTCAAAAGCCGCTTAAGGCACGTTCACGAAATTTGGTATCTGGAGTATTTTGGGCAAGCGAAATTCATTATTGATATCGGCATTGTTGCCTGATTTCCCAGTTTTGCACTACGCGTAGTCTTTTTGTCATCATGAAACGAAATGCCCCGTTTAACTTAAGCGGGTTTTACTGAAAATACGGTGTAGGCATATTTCAGAAACCAGTAGAGATAAAATTCTAAAAATTTAGAATCTTATCAAATTTGGCACGCCCAATTCATTGCAATAAAAATAAATGCGGCATTCTATTTAACATCAACAACAGACTACGTGTAGCGCAAAGCTGGGAAATCTAGCAACACTGCCGATAGCACTGTTCAATCCCGCATGCCCAAAAACTGTCAGATTCCGAGTTGTGTAAACGCGGCTTAAGCGGTTTTGAATATATTTAAGGGTTGCAGTACTTTTTACTAACCCTGTATATATTTCTTTGTGAACATCATAAATATCTGGATACTTTTCATAGAGGCTAAAAATAAAGTAGTTTTTTTCTTTAGTAAAGTTAAATTGAAATGTCATCCAAAATCAAGACATTTTTATTTAAAGTACAACAATAATACAAAAATAGTACTATTTACCAAAAATGTATAGGTATAGTTTCTAGTACATAGAACGGATAGTAAAATAGATACAATTTTTGAAAATACAGTGCCATTTATAAAAAAATATAGGTAACAGTCAAGGTTCCTAAAGTTATAGGTTACTTGATGACGCATCTGGGATGCCTTATGTGAAAGTTATCAGGGCTGGAACTCTGTAACGGATAGAGATCGTTGTCCCTATCGCTATGGTGGCACTTGCTGTCTTCTTCTCTCTTGTGAAATCAATAGAAAGGAGACGTCAATAGAGGTAGAGAAAATATCTCTATTCGTTACAGAGTCCCAGCCCAGGCGACCTATTTCTCTCAAACAACCTTGGGTAACAGTACCTGTATTCCTTTTATACATCGAATTACACCGAATGTGTCGCTCTAGAGCTCCTCGGAGTCACTCCAAAACACACTAGGCACTAGTTGACGTCACACACATAACCTCACTTTCGTTGGGGGGACAAACAACGCGTGTGAAGGATTATATATAACTTGACATAACTGGCGCAAATGCTAAATACGTGAATTTTGACGCAACATTCACATGGAGTGGAGAATTAACGCCGATGCGTATGTCAAAATCAATTTTTTTTCCTAAATTTATGAAATATTTCTTTGAATTTTGATTGTACAAATTTATATTTGTTTCTGCTTTAGTTCCAAATAGTTACAATAAATATGGACAGAGAAATCACAAAAATCAAGAAAACGAAACGGTTGCAACCTTAACCTCTAAAAACGCAGAATTTTTACGCGAAAAGTTGAACTTTGCTCAACTTTTGGCGTATCTGCGGCAGAGTGTCAGCGTATCCAATATGTCGGGATTTTGGCTAATCAGAATTCTGCATTCAGGTACGCTGTCACGCCATAAATGTCAAATTACGCTCATGAGAAGCCGCCCTTAGGGCGAGTTCTCATGAGCGTAAGTTGACATTTCTTGCGTATAATCACGTGATAATATGGTGTATTAATTTGATTGGTAAAATCTCAAGCATGGCGAATATTTTACCAATAAAATCTAACCATTTTATCATTGATTTTATCACTACTACGCCAGAAATGTCAACTTACACTCATGAGAACTCGCCCTTAAGGTCTGTTTCCACAGAAATCACACAAACCAGTCAGAGCATTTTTGATTGGTCTAAACCGCCAACAACCAGTTTCTTGACTATTTTCAACCAATGAAATTCGCTCTGACTGGTTTGTGATTTCTGTGGAAACAGACCTTTAGACTATCCAAGATGCTGTCAAACATCACTTTCATTATTTTCGAACAACGCCGCAGTTTTGTTTAGATTTAGGTACAGGTCAGAAAAAGCTATTTCATAAAGCCTAGTACTCATAACTGCGAAATTCGCACATTTTTACATTACATCGACAATTTGAAGTTTTATGCGTGAATCAAACGTCAAATTGTCGAAGCAATGTCAAAAACGAGCGAATTTCGCAGTTATGAGTACTAGGCTTTATGGAATAGCTTTTTCTTGTACCTAGTATGACCTGTACCTGCTCCCAACACAAACCTATTCCAAGTGCCTGTTCCAACTCCAAAGTATTTCCTGTCAAACTCAGTGATTCACATGGTCGCCAACAGGTGACTAGTGCTATTAGAGGTAAGAACGTTAATAAACGTGTCTTTTATTAAATCGAACACCGATTGATGATTCGAATGCTGGCAAAGTGGTAATCCAGTGTAGTAGATTCTACCATTTCATTGAATCATTATACTAGAGCTGTTTTCTGGTGCCTCGAAGTTTTGAAATATTTCTCAAAACTTGTTTAAAACAGTTTCACAATGACGTCATAATTTCTCGGCGCAAGAGAATGGTTTTAAAACGTGGATTGAATTGTATTTTGAAACGGTTTCAACCAATTTCGATGTGACGTCATGGGTTCATCGCGAGAATATACTATTTCAAACTTGTTTCAAAGAACGCGAGAAAACAGCTTTGGTTTAGAGAGCAAACATATGACGTGCCAGCGCCTGCTCTGCGAATTCGGAACAGGTAAATCTAATATTTGGTAATAGGTACACGGAACAGGCAGGTCATACCTATTCCAAAAGAACAGGTCCAGTTCTAGCGTAACATCCCTAGTCCAAATCGCCAACAACCTCTTGACTATTTTCAACCAATGAAATTCGCCCTGACTGGTTTGTGATTTATGTGGAAACAGACCTTTAGACTATCCAAGATGCTGTCGAACTAAATTAAAAGCTGGGTTCGGGATAGCCCAGCGGTGCTGGAGTAGAGTTGGAGTGGCGTTTTTACCACGTGACCAAAAAGCTTTTGGAGTGGATTAGTGAAACCAAACGGCCAGGGTGCATTTGGAGTTTCTTAACTTAACCTAACCCACAAATGACAAGTAATATTTTAAAAACAACAAACGTTTTTCTAGTCTTTCCTATCAATTTTTGGTATTTGATGCCTATATTTGATTTTGTTGAGGACGTTTATTATTATTTCGGAAACTTGTCTGAAGCAGTCATCAAGATTATCATTGAAAATTTCAGTGAAATTACACGTTGCTCGCATGTCAAATAGGCAGTTAAAAACCCATTTTATTGCATCTATTTACCAGGTAATTACAGATTAAATATTGATTTATTGACTGTCGATTAGTCGAATAGTCGATTGTTGCAATCAAAAAAATAGGATAAATGATACAAAATCACGAAAACGTAAACACTGCGCATGCCCGCTCTGGCGCTTGCTAATGACGAGGTGGTGCTTTCAGAGTCAGCTCTTTTGACTCCCGCACGTCCTTTCCGAACGCATGTGGAGTTACTCTTTTAGCTCAAAATGACAATACCCGAACGCATCGGGAGTGTTTATTGCACTTAGAGTTTATAGAACAGTCATCCCGAACCCACCTAAAATGTCAGGCAAGAGGCACACGCTTGTCAAAGCTCTGACATTGAACAGTCCCGAATAAAGCCTAGTACTCATAACTGCGAAATTCGCATTTTTTTGACATTGCGTTGACAATTTGACGTTTTATGCGTGTATCAAACGTCAAATTGTCAACGCAATGTCAAAAAAAATGCGCATTTCGCAGTTATGAGTACTAGCAATACACTAGGCTTTACTCAACGGGTAGAAGGAATACAGTAAAAGGGTCATTTCAAGTGAATTGTTTGATTTGATTCCAGCTCTAGATCGAACACATCAATCACAAATTGACAAATTATTGGATATGTGAAGAGAAACCGCCAAAATTTAAAAAAGGCTATGAGTCGTCTATTGGTAGGGTTGGTAGCAAGGAATACACGTAAAAATAGACGGTAAATACCGAGGTAAAAGGGAGTTTTTGTTTGTAAATAATGGAACAAGTTCTATCGCGTGTATTTATACATGTATTAATTCAAGGAAGGTCAAATACACGGCTAATATTTCCGCTTTATATTCGTGTACTTCTTCATGTATAAATACATACAAAAATACACAGATGTAATACGGGCTTAAAGCTAAAGTTTACTTTTCATGCATCCGTTTTTCCGTCAGTCTGTTGATCCGGAAGTATTCCTTATTGGTCCAATATTTTTGGCGCCAAGATATTAGACCAATGGAAATACTCCCGGATCAACGGACTGACGAAAAAACGGATGCATGAAAAGTAAAGGTTCAATGCTTCATTCTCACTTGAATGAAATTCACTCTTTTTTGACACTGCTTCGACAATTTGATGTTTGATACACGCATAAAACGTCAACCTGTCGAAGCAACGTCAAAAAAAGAGCGAATTTCGAGCAAAAAGTGCGAATTTCGCGCAAGTGAGAATGAGGCATTTAGACTATGATTATTATAAGTATGTTCTTGCAGAAATCACAAACCTGCAGTCAGAGCGAATTCGAGAAAAGTCAGAAAACTAGTTTCAACCAAGGCAATTCACTCTGACTGGTTCGTGATTTCTGCAGAAAAAGACCTATTGATTGACATTATGACTATGCAGAGGTGCTTTCCAGTGACCCATTTGAGTTACTCCTGAGCAGCTCAGGAGTGCTCCAAAATTGCTTTGCGCGTTCCAGTGCTTAGAGTGTCGTACACTTGAACTACTCATTTCTGTAATCCCCTGCCCCCTCGTGCACCAACCTTTATTTCGGTGTTCCATGCTACTTAAGTCCGAAATGGTGGGGGTTAAGACAAGAGCGTTCCAGTGCTGCTTATGTTGAACACTTCAAGAGCGTCACACTCCAGGAGCATGATAATCTAACAATTTAGGCACTGGAAAGCAGCTCAGATGTTGTATATACCCGCCATTAGTTGTCAAAATACAAACTAGTCAGAGCGAATTTCATTGGTTGAAAACAGTCAGAAAACTAGTTTTAACCAATGAAATTCACTCTGACTGGTTTGTGATTTCTGCAGAAACAGACCTATTATCATCTTCATTACCTCAAGAATCTAATCAACACCCTTCTGGATTAAAAATGCCCCACCCACCTGCTCTAGGATGCGAAATGAAAACGCTAGTTATCTGAAATAGAGAGAGAATTATGTGGCGACATCGATGAGTCAGCAGACAAACCACGTACTTTCTTTTTTCTTCAGAGCTACCGCCATCTGTGTTTAAGAAATCGAGTAAAGAAAAAGTCATACTAATAATTTATTTATTACTAAAATAAGCACTCAGTTTGGAAGAACAAACATTCACAAACTTATTTGTGATTTCTAATCTTCTCTCAATACATTTTCATGCCTTTTTATTTTATTTAAATTTCATATTTTCTTCACAGAAATCGTTTTTTTCTCGCATGCGTATTGGCTCAATTTCTTGGCGGGAAAAACTGACAAGTTCCCCCATGATGTTAATGTACTGGTTCTTTTTCCAACAAACGTCCAACAGTTAATTTAGAAACTAAAGTAATATTGTGCAATTATCTGTTATTTTAAATCATCAATAATGGTTCCGAAACCGGCCCAGAAGATGTACGTTCTCAAACGGGGTAAGCAAACACGTTTCTAGGTTAGTTTTAGTGGGGCCCCCAAGCTCAAACAACAAAATATCTTTGCAGATGGTAGACAAGAACAAGTCCATTTCGATAAAATCACCTCTAGAATCCAGAAACTATGCTACGGTTTAAACAAGGACTTTGTAGACCCTGTAAGTAGAGTCATTGAAAATTGAGTTAAAAATGTAACAATTAATGTCTCTTTAGGTCTCGATTACTCTAAAAGTCATCAGCGGTCTTTACCCTGGAGTAACCACAGTAGAATTGGATACTCTGGCAGCCGAAACTGCTGCTACCATGACCATCGACCATCCTGATTATGCTATTTTGGCTGCTAGAATTGCTGTTTCGAATTTACATAAAGAAACCAAGAAACATTTCAGTGGTAAGTGAAATTTTGTTGAAAAAAACAACATAGTGCAATCAGTAATATTTTAGATGTTATCACTGATCTTTACCATATGATAAATGATAAAACTGGGAGACCTACCCCGGCAATTTCTGAAAAACATTACAATATTGTTATGAAAAATGCTGACAGGCTAAACTCTTGCATTATTTACGACAGAGATTTTGCTTATAACTATTTTGGTTTTAAAACATTGGAAAGATCATATTTGTTGAAAATCAATGGAAAAATCGTGGAAAGACCTCAGCACATGTTAATGAGAACTGCTGTGGGAATTCATGGAGACGACATAGATGCCACCATTGAAACTTATAATTACCTTTCGGAGAGATATTTCACTCATGCCAGTCCAACTTTATTTAACGCAGCTACTCCTAAACCTCAACTATCCTCATGTTTCTTATTGATGATGCCTGATGATAGTATTGAGGGCATCTACAAGTGTCTTACTCAATGTGCTTTTATTTCAAAAAGTGCTGGAGGCATTGGTGTAAATGTACACAATATTAGAGCTAAAGGAACCTTTATTGCTGGTACAAATGGAGTTTCCAATGGGCTAGTACCCATGCTCAAAGTATTTAACAGTACAGCAAAATATGTGGATCAAGGTGGGAATAAAAGACCAGGCGCTTTTGCTATTTATTTAGAACCATGGCACGCTGATGTATTTGAATTTTTAAATCTAAAGAAAAATACTGGCAAGGAAGAAATGAGAGCCAGAGATTTATTTTATGCCTTATGGATTCCTGATTTATTCATGAAACGAGTTGAATCTAATGGAAATTGGTCTTTAATGTGCCCCCATCAATGTCCAGGTTTGCCTGATTGTTATGGAGAAAAATTTGAAGAGTTATATGAAAACTATGAAAAACAGGGAAAGTTTGTAAGGCAACTGCCTGCTCGGGAACTTTGGAGAGCTGTAATTGCCTCACAAGTAGAAACTGGAACCCCTTACATGCTTTACAAAGATGCCTGCAATGAGAAATCAAATCAAAAAAATCTCGGGACTATAAAAAGCAGCAATTTGTGCACTGAAATTATTGAGTATACTTCTCCAGATGAAATAGCCGTATGCAATTTAGCTTCCATAGCTGTTAATATGTTTGTTTCTGCCAATGGGACATTTGATTTTTGTAAATTGAAAGAAATTACTAAAATAGTTACTAGGAATTTAGATAAGATTATTGATGTCAATTATTATCCTGTTATTGAGGCTAGAAACTCAAACATGAGGCATAGACCAATCGGAATTGGAATTCAAGGTAAAAAATAAATTGTAGTGTATTATTTTTTTCTTATTGATGTTTTTGTTAGGTTTGGCTGATGCTTTTATTTTAATGAGGATGCCATTTGATAGCGAAGAAGCGGCTCTATTGAATAAGCAAATATTCGAGACTTTGTACTATGGAGCTTTGGAGGCTAGCTGTGAAATTGCTGAGAAGGTTGGAGCTTATTCTACTTATGAAGGTAAATATTCATGGAATGTAAAAAAAAAACTGACAAAACACTGATAAAAACAAACACAATTAGAATATATCTAAAAATGAATAAGTGAACATTTTAAAACATAAATCACTAATATATTGTTGTATTAGGAGTAGAAGCTTTACTTTTTGGTGCTGAAGCAGTAAGTTTGCGAGCCGAACGTAGTGAGGCTTGATACACACTATTTTTTCTCCAAACGAATGGGGTAAGCGCGGGGGCAAGTGAATGGTTGAGCGGTAGTAAAAGTACGAGCGGCACTAAAAGTACTTTCGCTGCCGCTTGGGTTGCCAAGCAGCATAAAATAGTATATTGTTTTATTAGGAGTAAAAGTGATACTTTTTGTGACGAGACTAAATTTTTGACGACCGAACGTAGTGAGGCTGACAATTTTAGACAAGCCACAAAAAGTGCTTTTCTCCGAATAAAACATGCATTTTTTTCCCTAAACAGTGTTCAAAGCAATGAAATCTAGGAAATTTCTGTGACGTCACTTTTTTGTCTGGCCGTAAGCGTACAAAATAGCTATTTATACGATAATTTACGTAATGAGCGTCTTTTAGGCACGTGATGTGAAAATTGTCCAACGAGGCAAAGCCGAGTTTTGTAACGTTTTGTATACAAGATTTTTTCTACTGGCATTTTATAATAGAAAAACACAATCTTAGTTCATGTGAATAAGTCGATTACGCCCAAAATCTTTGTTACCTGCTTTTGCTTGACACCTGACACTTTTCATGCGATTTTTTTTTCAAGATTCAACATCAATAATTAAAATCCTAGAAAGTAGGTAACAACACAAAGTTCTCTGTTTTGAGTAACCCAAACATTCAATTCAATAATTACATTTTTAATATTCATAATAAATACAAAACAAAATTTTTTATTTTATTTATTTACGGGTAACCCCCATTAATAGTTATAATATACAACAAAAATGGTTATGACTCTAGATTGTTATGAATTAAATCTAAAAATATGTATCACTTCAGAGTTTCATTTACATACTAAAAAGTAATCCTATACAAATGATTTCGAAATTGAGACAAAGTTAAACCAAATATTTCTATGTGATAATAATTAATTAACTTACAATATCTATCTATTGGTGAGTTTTGACCATAGTTAGTACGATGATAGGGAATGTTAAAAGACACAAAATCGCCTCTTCTATTTCTAGTCGGTGTGTCTATATTTATGCATAGCAGGAGATCAGCAGAATCAATCATACCATTGACCAACTTGCAAACAAAAATCATTCCAGCAGAGTTTCTCCGGTTAGAAAGGGTTTTCACTTTCAGCTGATTTTCAATGGCAGCATAATCATGATCAACAATCACAAGTCCTAATCTGAATGCACAATGTCTTAGAAATTTGTGCTGAATCTGTTCAATAGTTGCTTTGTGAACTGCATGATATGGTGACCATACTACTGAAGCATATTCCAGCTTCGAACGCACCAAAGAACAATAGACACTCCTAGCAGTTTCAAGTGAAAAGTTTTTACAGTGTCTTAAAACAAAACCCAATAGTTTAGACGAACTCACTGTGAGATTGTGAATGTGACCTACAAAACTCAAACTTTCATCAAATAATACCCCCAAATCTTTAACCTTGGAGACATAAGTCAGAGTTTCGCCATTTAATGTATAGGAAGTGTCAAATTTTTTCTTGCCTTTGAAAAAACTAATAAAACAACATTTGTTGACATTCAGATAAAGCTTGTTGTCTGTGCACCAGCCCGTCAGCCTGTCCAGATCGTCCTGCAAAAGCCGTTGATCATCCATACAATTTATGATTCTATATGCTTTAAAATCATCTGCAAATGCCAGCCCGTCACTGTTCTCAAAACACTCAAATATGCTGTTAACAAAAAGATCAAAAAGCAAAGGAGAACAGTGGCCCCCTTGGGGAACTCCTGAGGTGACATTAATAGTATCTGATTGAAAAGAACCAATTTTGACCATCTGCAGGTGACCCGACAGAAAACTACTAGTCCACTTAACTTATTTGATACCAAAGCCCATATTGAAAAACTTCTTTAAGAGTATCTGGTGGTCTACCTGATCAAAAGCTTTAGAAAAATCTGTATAAATCGCATCAACCTGATTGAAATTTTCTAAAGCAGATATTATTTTATTTTGATATAGAAGCAAGTTGGTTGTGGTAGACCGGCCAGAACAAAAACCATGCTGATTACTATTTATCAGACTTCGACTAATCCACTTAAGCTGATCTCCCATTAAACTGTCAAATAGCTTTGCTATGGATGACTGTATACACACACTTCTGTAGTTGGTGACATTGTTTATTTCTCCACTCTTATATATAGGTACAATAAAACTGTGTTTCCATTTGTCCGGGTAGAAACAAGAATCTAAGGATCTCTTGAACAGGACATGCAATGGCTTGACTAATAAACATATAGACTTTTTTAGGATTATATTAGGTATTCCATCCGGACCTTTTGTATTTTTATTTGGGAGATTACATATCTTATTAAAAATATCTTCTATGGAAACATGAGAAAAATTGAAGCACTCGGAACTCACGTCAGACGTTTCAGAAACTATCCCCTCCAAATCAAGATTGCTAGGAGTGTAAACTGTCTCAAAATATTGTTTAAACAAGTCCACAATATCTTGGCCATTTTCCGCCAAACGACCATTATAAAACATTGATTGAGGAAGGGTGTGCGAACTTTTTAAGTTCCTTATGTATGTCCAGAAATATTTTGGATTAGCTTTAAATTCATTATCAACATTATTAAGGTATTGAGCCCAACATATTTCTCGAACCCTCTTACACTCCGAACGCAACCCTGAAAACCACACATAATCAAGAGGAGATTTAGAATTATTATAAGCTTTATGAGCAATCTTTTTCTGGAACGTAAGACTTCGAAGCTCTTGTGAAAACCATTTTGGAAATGTGCTTGTGTGATATTTTTTTAAAGGAACATATAGAGCAATACCCATCTCGAGAATTTCATAAAAAGAATCCAAAGCTAAATTAATCTCATTATGTGAAAGGCATTGCTCCCAGTTTATACTAGCTAGAAAATTGTTCAATCCCAGAAAATCAGCGTTACGGAAATCATGGTAGAGATCATGAAGCTGAAGGCCTTTACTTCCCTGACTTTTACCCATAATTAAACAGCATTCATAGCTAACATGATGTAAACTATTATCAAAAATAATATCCCTAGCTAAACTAACTACAACGTTGCTATCATTAGAAAACATCAAATCTAGGAACACATTTCTATGATTAGGAATATTAATACATTGAAAAAATTGCAAGAAACCAAAAGATTGAGCAACCTGAATAGCCGCGGATGCAGCTGGACAGTCAACTCTCACTCCAAATCCATCATTCGACCAACTTGCCTCAGGTAGATTGTAGTCACCAAAAATATACATTTTTTGAGATTTGCAAGACTCAAGAACATGCTCCACAGACTCACAGTGCATGTTGTAGTAAATATTTGGCATGTTGGGTGGTATGTATACCCCAGCAATCACAAATTTGTCCCCATGGAAGCTACATGCGACAAACAGCTGTTCTACATTGTGCTGGTTTATGTAAACTCTCATAGAGCTGATTGATTTCCTAATGTATATAAGTATACCACCGCCACTAGATTTTTGACTAGTAAGATGAGACCGATCCAAGCGGAATAAATTAAAATCACAGCACTCTAGCTCACTGTCCATGAAGTTATCACATAAATTACTTTCGACTAGTACAATAATATCATATGAAGAACTATTTACTGCTAATTTCAGAAGCTCAATCCTTGTACGAAGGCCACTGACATTTTGATAGTATACCATTAATGGGGAGGTAGTTAGTTTTCCTGATTGCTTGCCTTTTTAGCGACTACCACTGGCATACCTTTAATATATCTGATGACTAGGTCTTCCCCTACATCCTTTCTTCTTGCAAGTTCTTCACGAGCTTCTTTGTAGGCAGCCTGCTGCATTTTTGTACAATCATATGCTATTTTGTAAGCACTGGACGCCAGTTTCTGTAAATTCAAATCTGGGTTTAGTGTGTTTTTTATTACTGAATAATGAATGATACTTTTTGGCACTAGTGGTTAAAAATTACTTTTACGCACTCAAAAGTCACTTTTATGCATTCAAAAGTCACTTTTACGCACTGAGTGTTCAAAAGTAACTTTTATGCACTCGGTGCTTAAAAGAATGTCGTTTTAAAACTAAAATGACAATTGAAAAGTTGCTATTATGAAACGTCAGTAGAAAAAAGTACTTTTTTGTACGCTCACGAAACTCGCGGCAAAAAAGTAACCAAAAAAATGATGTCTGTGAAGTCAAAATTCAACATTAAGAATTGAAGTTGAAAAAGTCGTCGTTTTTTGACGTTTGTGGAAAAATTAAATTTGTACCACCTTGACAGGTGTTTACCTGCTGGATTTGCCTAGCAGCATAGAATTCAAATTTCTAACAACAGGGGTTAACAAAGTGACGTTTTTTTGACGTTTGGAGAAAAAATAAAATTAGCGCTCAGAAATTACCAATTCAAAAGCATCATTTTGATTGCTATTTTGCAGAGCTGGGATCGTTACTTAAAAAAAGTAACGCGTTACTTTACAGTTACTTCTGCTTAAAAATAACTCGTTACTTGAAATTTACAGTTACTTTCAAATAATGATAACTTTATTTTCGTTACTTATTGGAAAGTAACACGTTACTGTAACTTCTTTACTTTGAAAGTAACTTCTTTACTTTAGAAGTAGTTCGTTACTTAAAAGTAACTCGTTATTTGAAAGTAAAACGTTACCTCAACGCGTTAGTTTGAAATAAAGCGTTACTTTTAAAGTAACGCGTTACTTCAAAAATAACTATTCACGTCGAAAATTGCGTTATTCCTTATTTTGACTCACCAACACAGCAGTCCAAACATTCAAATAAGACCTATACGAAATGCCAATACTTACGTTTGTAAGTCCGACTATGTGGACGAGTTTTGTTGCAAACGGATTAGGAATAAGCGACTAAATAGAGACCCAGTGTCTGCATATAGTGTCTTTAGAGCAGAGTCGGCGCGTGACACGCTCAAAAACGATTATTTTGAGCTTTCAAAACTAATTTTCTGTACTACCCACATTTTATTTGACATACAAAGTTTTTGGATTACTTATTTTCCTTTTCCTTAATCGTCAATTATTTGTAGAGAAGATAAACAAATTGAGAGAACGCATTACTTTCATAGTAACTAGTAATGCGTTACTTCCATATAAATGCGTTATTTTCATAGTAACGTGCTACTTTCATAGTAACTCGTTACTTTAACAAAATAGCGATCTGCAGTAACTGCGGGAAAGTAACGTCGTTACAGTTACTTAACAATCAATCTGAAAAGTAATGAAGTTACCAAGTAACGCGTTACTTTCAGTAACTCGTTAAAGTAAAGTAAGTATTTTTTGTCGTTACTCCCAGCTCTGATATTTTGTTTCTAGATCTAGACAAATGTATAAGTGAATTAATATTTATTCTCTCTTGTCTAATAGCATGTATTTGACTTTATTTCTAAACGCTCTATAACTACCAGGGTCTTAAAAATTAGTTTGTAATTTATTGTAAACCCTAATACCTTTGTATGAGACTAATGTAATGGAATGTTATTGAAATGTCTTGTTGAATAGGAATGCATGTATGTGTGTATATTTATATTATATTTTTTGAAGACAAGAAACACTGTCTCAAGTACCTACTTATATTTGATTAAATATTTTTTCTTCTAGGATCTCCTGTAAGCCAAGGAATCCTACAGTACGATATGTGGAACGTAAAACCCACAGATCTCTGGGATTGGGAAGCATTGAAAGCTAAAATAGCAAAACACGGTGTACGCAATTCCTTGCTCCTAGCTCCTATGCCTACCGCATCTACAGCCCAAATTCTCGGCAACAATGAAAGCGTGGAGCCTTACACTAGCAACATTTATACCAGAAGAGTGTTATCGGGAGAGTTTCAAGTGGTCAACCATCATTTGCTGAAAGACTTGACTGATAAAGGTCTTTGGGATGACTTGATGAAAAATCAAGTCCTGGCCAATAATGGGTCGATTCAAAACATCCCTGGAATTCCAGATGAATTGAAGGCAATTTATAAGACTGTATGGGAAATTTCCCAAAAAGTAATTATCAACATGGCGTCTGATAGAGGTGCTTATATCGACCAGAGCCAAAGCCTCAATATACACATAGAGAAACCGAATTATGGAGTTTTATCTTCTATGCACTTTTACGGGTGGAAAAAAGGACTCAAAACCGGCATGTATTATTTGAGATCCAAGCCTGCTTCAAATCCTATCCAATTTACTGTAGACAAAAGTAAACTGTTGGTGAAAGTTAAGACTAGCTCCATACAAAACGGAGTGACAGTTGTGGAAAATGGCGCGCAACCAAAAGAAACGGAAAAAAATGGACATGAAAATGAAGAAGAGAAGCAAAACGAGGACGCATTGGTTTGCTCTTTGAATAATCCAGAGGGCTGCGATATGTGTGGATCCTAAGGAAGGTTATTTAGCCTATTTTTGCTAAGAGAGGTTTGTATATTAGTTACAAGGTTCTTTTGGCAGTAAAAATTAAGTTCAAATCAAAGCGATTTTCGTTGAGAAGAATTCTGTGTTATTTTCAATACACTATTAGTTGACGATTAGTGCCTTGTAGTTTTTAAGTGAAACGCGCATCACCTTCTCCAGCAAAATTTGCTTGAATTTTGAGCAATAATGCATATGCGTTGTAGCAGGTATTTATATATTTGAATAGTTGAGGTTTCGTGTCTCTTTTATTATTTATCATTTTCAGTTTATTGTTTATACTTGTGCGATTAAGTCTTAGTGTTTTACTAACCAGCAAAAAAAGTGTGATAACAATAAATTCTATAGTTTTTTCAATGTGATGGTGAATAGAAATTACAAAGAATTTCCAGTGTAGATAGAAGTTATTACTTAGGGAATTTCTTTGTAAGACTTGCAATGTCTAGACATTGCGGCATGTTGGGACATTTTAAAATTTATTCAATGACCCATTTGGATATTTATCCTTTTGAATGTGACAGTTGCAAAGCAAAATTTCAACGAAAAACCTATTTTCTGATACACTCTCGACTAAGATGAATTTTCAATGCAGCCAAGTTTGAGTCTTGATATTTTTTCTTCTCTGAATAGGATGACAATAAATTTCAGAGTTTTTTCAATATGGTGAATAGCGATGTTAGCTATTATGAGAGATCCAAATAAATGAAAGTTAATTAAAGAGAAGAAATTTCCAATTCAGAAATTATTAAGGAATTTCCTTGTCACTTGCAATGCTTGGAAATTGTTGAAAATTGATTTTAGTGACCCATTCGGATATTTATCCTTTTGAATGTGATACTTGTAAAGAAAAATTTTCCATTATTGTCCTATACACTCTCAGATAAAATGAACTGATTCTCAACCTCAAATTGACATTATTCGCGCATTAAGAACAAACAGTACTGAAATTTGTATTAACTTAACAATACTTGAGGTGGACCTTCAATAGTGGTGCAAAGCAAAATCGTAGTTTAAGTTCCACTTAAGTCTAAGGCTCACCTTAAGTTGTAGCGGTGCAAATAGCAGCTATTCATTTAAATAACGATTATGCATAATAGAAAAATAATTTTCACAGATAAAATAAGTTTGTCCCTTAACTACTTCATAATGATTTTATTCAGTTTTTACAGGATCAATAATTTAAAAAAAAAAGTTGATATTTATGGAATTTATTGGTCTTCTACTTTTTTTGCTGGTCTGCATAAATGTATAATGTTGTCTTGATTTTTATATTAACTAAATCTCCCAGTTTGGTGTGATTCCATTTTATGTTTCTCATGGTAGCATGTATTCCTTATTTTTTTATAATTATTAGATAGTATTACACAACCAAACATTTAATTTTTTAAGTTTTAATTTAAGGTAAATATACAAATTATCAAAAACGCGTTTTTTTTTTTTAAATCGAATCATAATTCATAGACCATTTAAGCATAATTTGCAATGCTCTGCCTATCAGGGTAATAATTTCAATTGAAACAAGAAGCCCAAAAATTGAGAGAAATTTGAAATTGCAGCAAGAATGGATTCAACGTAATCTCCAGCCAGTCACCATATCTCTGGTCACCATGCGGCCACATCATGGCACCTGTCAATAAAACATAAATTTTGGCAGATAGCTTTTTTTTCTCCTGTTTCAAATAAAAATTTATAATATGTATTCCAAAAATCCGAACAGATCGGATTCATCAGATCTAAATACCACTATGATCTACTATCCAGAAGAGTATGTAAGTAAATATGATTTTCCCCTTGCTGCAATTTTCTACTTCAAATCCTTCAGGACTACTCAATCCACTATGAAAACGAAATGAGACAATACAAACCCGCAGCTCCTCATAGAGCTTTTGCAGGAACCTCTAACAAAATGCACACTTTTAACTACTTGAACGAACGGAAATGCCCGATTTACGTGCACGAAATCAAAAAAAATTCTAGTGTTTTTAATAACTACAACCAAAAATTAACAACTCCACGACGAACAATGTTTCAACGAAATACTACACAAAATAATTCCAAATTTGTGCTGGATAAATTGGAGGAAACTTACTGGGCCACTTGGAAACCTAAAAAAGATTCACCGAGACTGAATTTTATTGCATCTGATTATTCTACACCAAGATTTCAAGGACACAATAAAGGTATAAAAAATCTGGATACCAGTAACTATTGAAAATATTTTATGTAAGAATTAAACTATTTTTCTTTCTCTCTAATTCAGGTTCCAGTCTTCACGATGGCGTTATCAGTGATGACGTAATCAAATATTTCAAAGCTGAAAGGTTCGATTCGAGCAGCACCACTGATTCTGCTATAAAAGAAATTAACCAGAAAAAAGTTCATCCAATAAAAAGTCACGTAATTAAAAGAAAAACTATATCGAATGAAAGAATTAAGGCGGACAAGGAAGATAAAAAATTGCAAAGACCCACTAACTCTAGACAAATAAAAATGGTTAAAAATGAATGTCACGAAATACAAACTGAAGTGCATTGCCCGATTATTTTAGAAGAGAATAAAGTACAACCAGGAACAAATATCAACGATAATAATATTGATAATACGGAACCCGAGAGTAAAACTATTGAGGAAACAGTTGTCATTGAAGCTCAACCAGCAAATAAGAGCATTAACAAACCAAAAACAAAAAAGGAAATTAAAAAACTCAAATTATTGGGCAAAAATAAGACCAAAAAAGAAATCGCAGCTACTGACAATAACGAGGCAAATTCACAAGAAGGTACTAATTCCACCCTGTTTGTTGAACACAAAGATTCTATAGAGGTAATTAAAAAACAACAAGAACAATCGGGACCAAGAGAGCATTCCCAACAACCAAAATCCATAAAATTATATAGAAAATCTGGTTCCGCGACTGGATACATCAGAGGTGGCACGTACCCGTTGAAATCTTGCTTGAAAAGGGACAGTGGCCCGAAAGGTAAATTTAAATTGGGCCCGCCTGGTAGTCCATTGTTTGTTACTACTAGTTCAGATAAAAGGAAATAAACAATTTGATGGATAATTTAGCTTGTTTTGGGTTATTGAGCCAGGGTGTTTTGTTTTTTAAATGCTATTTCTATAGATTTTAGACTGATATATTATGTTTTCAACAGTTGAGGCATTTGACAAGGAAGCAATATTATAAGATTGAATCAATCATGTAGAAATAAACGTTCAAGTTACTATGTCAATATCCATCTGGATTCTGGAGCAGATCATAACAATCCAAATTTAGTTGTTCAGATGAGCTTCCTGATACATATTACAGTAAAGTGAACCTCCGTACATACATGGATATTCTGAAATTTACTCCATTTACACCTACTTTGTCTAGTCCTTTGTTAAGGTGAATTAACGCACCATCTTTTACTCTTCTTCTTCGTTGACCTTATCCATTCTGGATGTTGGTTTTCATCATGGCTATGCCTGCTTTGTTGACAGCAGCGCGGAACAGTTCAATGGAAGTCACGCTAAACCATCACCGTAAGTTGGTGTGCCAAGAGATTCTCCCTCTACCTGGCCCCCTTCTTCATCCTACCTTATCTTGCAGGAACAGTTGAAGCAGACGATATTTGGTCAAATTTTCGAACAGGTAGCAGGCATTAAAATCACCCATATTCTCATCAGCTAACTAGCCACATTCAGCTCTCAAAATGCCAAACAAAAAAAAGGTCTTATCTATCTCACAGTCTAAATGTTAACTGATCGAGGTTCGAGGCTATTCAAAATCGACATCATAAGAATCCTATTTCGAGAATCTGGATCCACTAAGTGAGGTTCTCCAGGTGTCCATAGGGCGGAAAATACTTAAAATTCAGATAAAGAATACGTACTTCCTGCTTAGAGCGGAACTGAAACATCACTTTTCTGGATAAGCAATTTCTCACCTCTGGGCAATCGATAGTACTCTTAGCATCAAAAGATAGGATTTATCGACTACAGGGATTCGAAGGAGTTTAAATGATTCAGTACAAGAGTCATACCTATTCTAGTCGTGAGTAGTTCAAAGTTTCTCATACCAATGAATGTAAAAGTTAGTTTACGAGGTGCCACTAAATAGTATCACATTTGTGAAACAAAGTTCAAGGAAACTGATAAAATTGTTAGAGATCACTGTCACCTCACTGGAGATTTTAGAGGTTTTGCTCACCGTGACTGTAATTTGAACTATAAAAATTCTTTTACAATTTCTGTATTTCCTAATTTGAGCGGCTACAATGTACATTTCGCTATAAGAGACTTAGCTAAACATTCTCATATCACTTTATTACCTGAAACCAAGGAAATAATACATTAGTTTCACAGTTTTCTCAAATACCCAAGTTGGTGTTGTTTTATGGTATTCATGAGAGCTAGTTGACAGTTCATTCTTCTGAGGCCCTCTTCGTTAATGACTCGGTCAATCCAGGGAATTCTTAAGATACTTCTGTACATCCACAGTTTAAAGCACAGATTAACCCGTCCTAAACATAGGAAACTTCCATGTAAAATGTTCCTTCGGAGCTGTCTAAAAAATAACACGTATGAGAGTTTCATGACTGCCAAAGCTATGCGGCGCTAGTATAGCAAAGCCACAAGCAAATGTCATCTGTGAATGAATGTAATATTCTATGAATGTAATTTGTCATTATATTCACAGATTATATTTGCCATTAGTCAGCCGTTTGATGTGTGTTAGTGTTTTTTATTTGATTTTCTATCAGCTTTTGGTAAAACTTTGATTTCCTAATATGTTTTTAACAAAAGAGACCTTATCTTACATGTGAAAAAAATAAAAAGACCTTCAAAAGTATAGCCGAAATAGGTTATACTATTACTGCGCATCCGGTTGCGCATAGCGCATTGCGGAATTTTTGGAAAGCTAGAGACTTACGAAAGATCAGTCTGATAATTCGTTTCTGTTTCATCTTTCTCTGTCATACCAATTCACAAGACAAGGGCACCGTATGAGTTACAGAACTTTCTTAGCTGTTTTGTAGAAACCTATCAAACATCCATAACTATAGAAACTGTGACCGAGAAAACAAATAAGTAGGTAACCTTAAAATAACGACATTTCCGTGTTGAAATTTGTCATTTTTAACCGATTGGGCGGTCGTCTAAGTGCCGGTACTTTTGCCCTCATTTGAAAGCCGTTGAAAATAATCAGGGCTTAGAATGTGCTCTAACCACATTATACTTATAGACCTTGGCCCATGCAAAATTTTGACAACGTATCAAATTCGTTAATCGAGAGCAAAAGTATCGGCCCTAAGAAGACTCGAACTCACAAAATCTAAAAAACAAAGAGAAGAAATTGTCATTTTTATCAAGGCACTCTGTATCGCGTACCTATAATATTATGTACAACAAGGATAAACTGAACCAGTAAGTATACATGTTAGTTTTGTGATATACGTTCAAAACGGCATATTTTTTTACTGTTTTAGGAGACCTCAGTCAGAAGAGGTAAAATGTAGATGTTAGGCCTTGGCCAGCTTAGCTTGTACATACATTAAAGCATGTATAAGGGATGTATATAATAACTGTGTTTGTAAACTCTTTAGGTATTTGACCTATCTAGCTATAATATATATTTTTTCTAGTACAATTTAGTGTTTATTTTGCCTTTTTTTTTAATCTACATCAAAAAATGGCCCAAAACTTTATGGAGTACCACATCATTTTTCTCATTCAGATTTGAGAAAAAAAGATGTGGAACAACATAAGTAAGTTTTTTGTGCAATCAACTCAAGTCAAATTTCAAAATTCCCGCCATTTCAGTATTTGTTCCGGCTGCCACTATTGACGCCACCGTCGCTGTGACGTCAGCGCTATACAAACTTTTATGTTATCAATCAGGTACTCGTACCTTGGTTTATTATATTTCTCTATAATGTGAACATTGTGGAAATGGTTTTAGTGATGGTATTTATTTGGAATTTTTGACATTCACTTAAGGAGTCATTTGTGCACAAGACCTATCAAATTTGTTTTTTTTTTTCAATGCGGTTTTCTGTTGTTGTGTTAAAGGCTGTTCTGTTAAAGAAGGAGATAGTACTGAAATGATATGTTGTTTCATTTTCAAAAAATAGGGTTTAATAATAAAATAAAATTGATTAGACAAATTATTTGAAAAAAGGCGGGAACCACATGACTATAGTCCGACAAATACCATTTTAAAATCACGTGATTTTTCTTTATCCTTGTTGAATACATCTCAAACAGTGGTGATAGAAAAATTGAGGAAAAAATGAATGTCTAATTATTGTTCATAATATTCTTACCTGAAACAGAATCCTTCACTGTCATATTATCAATTAGTTTGTCAAAGTTAAGTTATTTTCGAAAATCGAAAATGCCACGAAGATATAATGAGCAAACACAGATAATAATTTTGAATTTATCAGCCTTTTTCCAACTTGAAAAAGAGCAAATTGAGAACGGGTATCCAATTCAAGTCCAGAATATTACAAAGGACAGCAGATGCGACAAAAGTGAGTCTCGCAACAATTGCAAGTATTAAAAAAAATGGGGTAAAAACAGACTAAAATTTCACTTCTACTATGTCTTCAAAGCAAAAAGCTATGAAAACCAAAATCACAGACTATTTAAGAAATTTTATTCGAGACACAATTTATTCAATGTATGCCAAAAAAGAAAACGTAACATTAGCAACAATAAGGCAAAAGTTGAGAGAGCAAAATGAGTATTTTGAATTTTCTACCGAGTCTTTAAGAAGATGGATTAAATTATTGGCTTTAAATAGAAAAAATCAAATAATAGGAAGTATTTAATGGACTTACCAGACATCGTACATAAAAGGATCAACTTTTTGAGGGAGTATACGAAAAATAAGAATTTGGGTGCCGAAGGTTTTAGTCCAGTGTTTATAGATGAGACCTGGATTTTTAGTAAGGGATCCTTCCGTTACAGCTGGCAAAATGATACCAAGCACACGGATTCAAAAAAAAAAAAATAGTGAAGGTAAAAACAATTTTGCTACCTATTTATATTAAATTTTGGATGGCTTAAAAAGGCTACAATATAACCCAATACCGAGCTCAATACGATTGACTCCGACATTAGAGAATTACTCGATTTTAAAAAACTGTTTTTTAATTACATTTTTCTTCATTTTTTCAGGTCATAGATATATTCTGGTTCACGCTGGAACAAAAGATGGCTTCATTCATGGGGCCAATTTAATTTTCAAAAGTGGATTAAAAACTGGGGATTATCATGATAACATTTTGAAAACGGGTTCAAAACTCAGCTGGTTCCAAATCTCCCTCCAAAATCATCAATCATTATGGACAATGCAAGCTACCATTCGGCTCTTTCAGAAGAAATCCCAAAAAGATCTTGGACAAAGCAAAGGCTCATTCAGTGGTTAAAATATAAAAATTTGGACTTTCCAGAAAAAGCAATGAAAGATCAAATATGGCTCATTGTACGTAACCACTGCCCTACTGAAAAAAATACTCTATTGATGAATATGTTAAACCTTTAGGTCACAAAATTTTGCGATTGCCACCATACCATTGCCAATTTAACGCAATTGAGATGGTGTGGTCCGAATGCAAACGAAAATATGATCAAGGGATCACCATTCGAAGTTTTGGCTACATGGGAAAGGGTAATAAACGAAATTTTTGTAGGTCATTGGGAAAAATATGTGAATCATACAGAAAAGGTAATTCAAGAGGCTTGGGAGTCAATACGAGTATGTGATGCCTCTGACATTCCGCCACTTGTTATTACCACAGACGACGGTGACGAATTCGACTATGATGAAGACTCTGACTCCGACTTCGACAATGCCGACGACACTTAAGGTCACTGAATTAATATTTAGTGACCTTAGACTGATTTTTTGCTATATCAAGTACTGTTTTTTGATTCATTTTTGTTATTTTTTAAGCATATCAATTATGTCATATCGATTACGTTAATTTGGCAATGGGAATGGTTTAGGTGTAGAGCTCGAATGAGGGGTTCTGACTAATTGTTTTTCTATTGGCGCTTCACTCCTTTTCCCTACATAGCGGCTATAGTTTTTTGGAAATAAAAGATTCATCAAGAAGTATTTTTACCAAGCATAAGTAATTTATGTACCTAAATTAATATTTTTTTCTGTAAACCAAAATGATTTTACCCCATCTTTCTTTTCGAATTGGAAAAATGCTATTTTATGTTTTATATAGCCATTTTATGTGTATTCTTGTAAATTCATTAAATACTTCCTATTATTTGATTTTTTCCATTTAAAGCCAATAGTTTTGATCATTGTTCTTAAGCACTCAGTGGAAAATTCATTTTGCTCTCTCAACTTTTGCCTTATTGTTGCTAATGTTACTACGTATTCTTTTTTTGGCATACATTGAATAAATTGTGTGTCGAATAAAATTTCTTAAATAGTCTGTGATTTTGGTTTTCACAGCTTTTTGCTTTGAAGACATATTAGAAGTGAAATTTTTGTCTGTTTTTATTCCATTTTTCTTAATACTTGTAATCTCGCTTGTAACTACATATTGTGAGAATCGCTTTTGTCGCATCTACTGCCCACTGTTATACCTATACATTCTGAACTTGAATTGGGTACTATATCCGTTTTGTATTTTTTCAAGTTGGAAAAAGGCGCCATTTTAAAGTTTATTGTTAACTCCTTTTTTTAATGATAATTGATAGGTAATACCTAATGTATTGATTTGACTTTGTATTGTTAAATAATAATAATAAATTTTAGTAGACTCTATGATTGCTTTTAAGGCCTTATGATGGCACACCTTTTTGATAATATTTCTGCGCCTAACAACAATAATTTCAAATGTTTTCATCCATATTTTTTCGGTTAGTTTTGTTACTAGCAGAAATTTTAAATAAAACATGCCATGTCCCAAGTTTACGAAGCCATTCAGTTTTATATTATAATGTTCTAATTCTCATCTGATTGGTCAATACTACTCCAGAAACGCATTTGTAAAATGCTAGTGGGAACATATCCTAAAATTCATTAGTAATTAACCACCAGTAACTTTTTGTAGGTGATATCAACGACATAATCAAGAACATACGTTTTTTGCCACCAATATCACGTGACTTTAAAATGGTATTTGTCGGACTATACTGCCACAATACTGAACACACCGAAGTGCACACTAGCGCCATCATGCTGTGGCAGTCATACAACTCGCTGCATGAGTAAGAGAAGGATAGGGAAAAAGGCCTGAATTTCCTATTTTTAGGACGGGTTAATCTGTGGTTTAAAGCTATTGATTTAGAGGTGAGCCAACCTGCGATTTTAATGGAGCTGTGACAAGACGTGACTGCTCCAGTCGTGTAACTGTGACAAATAGCAGTGATTTTTTGGAGCAGTTTTACCTTAGTTGGCGGCGAGAGAGATGTTCCAGTTTCCAGCCTGTTCCCTGCATTAGCAGTTTCTATTTGACGTGACCGCGATGCGATTTATAATATTATATTATTTCATTTGCATCACTGCTCGAGTTTTGTCCGCGCTGTATCGGTCGGAGCTTGAAGCGGGCAGTGACAAAATGTCACTGCTACTTGACTGGGACTGGAGCAGGCCGTGACTGTGACAGACAAGTAGCAGTGACAAAGTCACAGTTCATGAAATCACACCCCACTATTGATCCTTTTTCCTGTTGCTTCAGACAACTTCCAAGCCTCAACACCATACAGTACTACTGGAAAAATATAGCATTTTATCATTGTCTTCTTGAGGGTCATGCTAAGATCTCGACAGCAGAGAAAGTACTTCATTCATGTAAACATTGTTTTGGCCTTTTTTATTTCTTTGGATTGATCCCATGATGTAACAATTAATACCAATAAAGGTAAGTTAAACTGCCCACTCTCTACCGTTTCGCATGTGCGTGGGAACCCAGCATCAAACAGGACATTTCACTTTTCACAGATTATCAGTCACTCTGACGATGTCACAAACCGTTTGAAAATCCGTTTTGCAAAAATGTTTTCCAAATTAACAGTGAATCAACTCCCAAAAATATGGTGCTTGTTCAATCAGAGAAACTTCGGCATGGCACCTTGCACGTACAATCAAAATGCGATAAAAACGCATTTCACTGTAACACTTTTAGGTGAGATTTATTTCTTCTTTTTAAATCTTGATTCATTTAATCGTATACTTTAGAGGCAGCCGACAAAATGGGTCGTCAAGTGGCTCTACTCCTGAAACAGAGCCCTTTAATCTCTGAGTTGAGACTGTACGACAAAAACAGTTCAGTATGTGTAGTTGCTGAAGATTTAAGTCACATTGACACTTATACTAAAGTGAAATCTTATTGTGGAATGTCTGTGTTGAAACATGCAGTACAGGTACGAATATCATTAAAATTTGGAATATTTAGGGCATTCTATTTGGTATTTAGAAATTAATGTATTGGAAAGTTATCATCTTCTGAAATATATTGAAACTTTCAGGGTGCAGATATAGTTGTCTCTGTGGGGGGCTGCAGAAGTCAACTGAAAGAATGCTCAAAAGAACTTTTCGAGAAAAATTTGGACGATATAAGAAGCGCTATAATGCATTGCATGGAATTCAATCCGAAAGCTATTTTTTGCATTGCCAAGCCACCGATCGAAGCTTTTGTACCCATGGCGGCAGAGGTAAGCAAAAGTCTTCCCAAATTGCATAGTTAACAATGGCCATTTTCTTTTAAGGAATATAAAAAAGCTGGCGTGTTCGATCCAAGAAAAATCATAGGCATAACCTCAGTAGGTTGCATGAGAGCTAATTATTTCATCGGTCTTATAAGTGGTCAAAATCCTGCAGACGTCCAGTGCCCAATTGTTGGAGGCATTTCGAAAAATTGCTTGGTGGCTTGTGTATCTCAGAGCAGGCCTGGTAAAGTGCATCCAGTAATGACCAACAATGATTATCTCTTAATATTTAAACTTAAACTCTTTTTTTAGCAACATTACAAAATGATCCAAGACTCTATCAGTATAGCCGAAGACGAAGTCCTTAAATCGTCCGGAGATGGCATGACTTGTCTTTCTTCAGCTCTAGGAGTTGCCAAATTTGTCAATGCACAATGCAAGGCTCTCAGTGGTGTAACCAATTGTGTAGACTGTGCTTTTGTGAAGCAAACTGGACATGTTTGTCAGTTTTTGCCTTACATGGCCTCTATTGTGAGACTAGGTACGATGATGTGACTACAATTTCAGTTGTTCACTGACCTCACTATTCTAATTTCATTAGGTCGGCACGGGGTTCTCTCTTGTCACATGCCCAAAATCAATGGCTATGAAGCGCACTGTTTGAAACGAGCATGTATGTATATAAAAGAAAATATAAAGCTTGGTGAGTCGTTCGTAACTGGGGACCATAAAAAGGATTCTAAAAAAACTGCTGCTCCAGTGAAGCTAGCTACATGAAAGATGTTACCAAAAAGATTGTTTTGATAAATGTCAGTTTTGATAATCAAATAGTTGTTTAATTTAAACGTTCGTATTCTGGGCTGGGACTTTGAAATCGTTATCCCTATCGCTATGACACTAGCTGTTTTCTTCTCTCCTTCGAAATCAATCGTGAGTCAATAGAGATAGAGAAAATATTTCTATTCGTTACAGAGTCTCAGCCCTAGTTGTTTACTCTCCATATAGGCATACATTCACTGACCCCAATAATCAAGAAAATGGCGACATCTCTGGTTGAACAAATAATTATATTTCTTAGAAATAGTGGGAGAGGAAATTAGTTCCGCATCGAAATAACGCAGATTTTATGATCGAATGGAAGAACTGAAAGCCCACCAGACCTTCAGATATTACAATTACGCTCAAAGTTGACAAAACATAAATCCATTGAAGATTATAATCCCCAAGAACATTTCACAGGTCCATGGTAGGTGAAATGTAGATATAGCCAATACACAATGACACCCACGTTTCCCCCACCGATGCTTCACCAATTGACAGGCGATGTTTAAAGCAATTATTTACTGCCAGAAGGACCTCACCTCCACGGCTTTTAGCACTATTTGGACTGCTACTATCAGAGCGATAAAGCGCGTTACGCGAGTCAAGAAATTCAGCATCACAAGTGCAATCACTCAGAAAGCCTCGGCGTAAGCATCTTTGGAGTTTAAGCCTCTTACGTTTTGGTATAGAAAAGTAGCATAATCTAATGAGACTCTTGTCTCCCCTCTGGACGGTTTTGCCCCCATACGAGGATGAAACTTCTTGACAGCAATGCTTACAGGCCAGATGTTTGGATCTAGCAGGCCCTTCAAAAGTGCTACTTTAACTTCAATTTTAAACAAAAAATTAGAATTGGAAAATTAAACAATAATTGATATTTTTCTAAATTTTACTGATTTTTGGGGAAGCGGTTGTGTTTTTAGTCCTACTTTAGTTATTTTTATCAATAAAGTCACCTGCGTTTATGAATTTTGACCAGAGGAACTTCTGAGATAAGTACAATAAAAAGTTGCAAGAACCTAGATATACAAGGTGTCCACTTAATGCAATATCGGACGAATCGCAAGAAAAAAAAAATTTGTTTGATACTTTAATACGCATTAGTTAATAGTTATTTATGCAACAAGTGTGTAAAGTGTGTGATGTGATTGTCAAAATTCACATTCGTGAAAAAAGGTGCTTTACGCACGTATTGCATACAAAATTATTTCTACTACCAATCAAATATGTGTAATAAAATAAATTTAGACAAATTCTTCACGCACTAGTGCGTAGAGTATTCTCACTTTACGCACTAGTGCGTGAAATAATTTACCAGAAAAATAGTACCTAATTTGACAGTGTTGACATCTGTCATTGACATTACTTTACGCACTAGTGTGCTAAGGGAATTACTTTACGCACTAGTGTGTGAAGAGAAATTTTACGTCTTCTGAATAGTGCGTAAAGTGAGTACTTTACGCACGGTAGTAGAAAAAAATCTTTTTCAATATACAGGGTACTCCGTTTATGGGGTACAAGAAACAATACCATGACGTCACTTCTACGGAGAAACGTACTACTTAGGCCACTCTATATTATGTACACTCTGTACACCTGGCGTGACTGAAGATTGAAGCTGAGTTTAAGACAGGTCCAGAAGAGCGTTTCCCAATAAAGGTAGTTTGCACTGGGAGGAGGCTTCTCCCAATTAAGGTACTTTGCGCTAGTCTTAGTCTGCCAGTAATGGACGTCGGTGCGGTATCTATACCAAATTAATGATGACTTCTCGATAAAATTGACAATATTTAGATAAAATATACTTCAGTCTCGAGAAAAATTCTTCTTACTAAAACGATGAAATTTCAAATTTTTTTTTTGTCGAGATTTTATATCCTAATGGTCAATCAACATCCCTCAAACTCCATGCACAAAATTATTCTCAGATTTGGAGCCGGAATTTATGAAAAAAGGCACTCAGAAAAATTGATAAATTGATAAATCACTCCAAATTGCTTAACACGATTTTATCTCAGGAATTATAAGTGCAAATGAGCTGAAATTTTCAGGAATTGTAGTCCTTTGAAAATGATAAAATTCAGTGAAAGATTCAGCTTTCTATCTATAATAGAAAAAAACCTATGACCTTTCAAAGTTTTCCAAAATCTAAATCATACCTTCTTAAAGAATTGTATATCTCTCACAACCTTTCATTTTCCATCTTCATTAATACATAATGGATCCATCTTTGTAGTTTCCAAAACAAATAAAACTCGAACAAAGATTATAAAATATTTTTATATTAAGTCAAATAGTGATTGTAAAAACTAAAGTTATTAAAATTAATATATATTTTTAATGATTGCAACTTATAATTTAAAATGTGCGATAACTTTAGGCATATAGAAATATTTTTTTTCCACCAGGATTATTTATTTTAGACCTTTATGAGTTACATAAAACCTCAGCTCAGAGCAATTTCGATTGAATCTGGTTATTGGTTCTCAATCAAACTGAACTTGTGACTGTATAAATTATCTTTTGCACATACATATTATTTCGTTTTCTGCTTCAGTCTAAGTTCACCAAATTAATTCTAATTTTGGAAAAGTCACGCTATGATTTTTACAAAAACAGACTTATAGGTGGCAACCTTCCTAAGTTATTATCACAAACAATCAAAAAAAAAAAAAATAGATAGAAAGGGCCATATACATACATTGCCGATTTCTATATGACTACTTGTTTCTATCACAAAACAAACAAATTGATGAAGCGCGCACAAAGGGTACAGAAAAATACTTAACAAAAATATCACTGAAATTCTAAAGACTAAATAATAATGTGGATATAAACGAAAAACTGTTTTAAGCAGATAATTTTCAATGGCATGAAGAGAAACTTTTAATTTTTTGCTTTGAACTAAAAGGTAGTAGAGATAAAAATCTAAAAATATGATTATTTACAAAACTTCTGGAAAAATCTATTAATTTCCAAAAAAAAAAAAAAAAGGTTTTGTACTTAGAGCCGTTTTTTACCAATACGCTTTTGTGACACAACCAATAGGAAAGAAAAATTGTTATTTCTCTTTGGTTCATAAACGCTCTTATTCTTCCACCTACGAGTTTTAATTATAGTTTTAAGTTCATGTACAAATTCTTTACACATTCAATGTTCGTCAAAAAAAAACTTAAAAACTAAAATTTTTACTTCAGTATCGAGATCAAATTACAACTTTATCCCTTGAGTAACTAACGCTACAAAGATTATACAAAACTCTTACATCGAATATCAATATTACAGTGTCGTCTACATAAGATTTAATGCAAAAGCCACTGATAATTTTTTTTGATAAAATATTAGGCAAATTACCAAACCAAAAAAAAACAAAAAAATTGCCAGTCTTATGAAATTGCCATATATTTTATCAAAATCCAATCACAAACATTTTTTTTTTTTTAGATGACCTTATATAATATATTTACATTTGATTGGACACCAATTTGTTCTAATGTTATTCCCACTTGAAATTGACCACAAGTTTTATTTTTACTCTTGAGTCGGGATAGTAACCCTTGGCGCAGGGCCCGGCAGTTGATATCAGGTAAGCGTACTACAGGCTGCTACAGGGATAGCATCAAAACAATGTGTCCTTCATTTTAGGGAAATATATAATATGATTTATGCCCCTTTGGATTCAATTTTGAATTTAGCACCTCTATTATTCATTAATAATAATTTTTCTTTTTTAATAAACATTCCTGGTCATTTTTCCATTATTTTTTACTCTAACAGCTACACATATCAGTTCTACAACACATTTGTTCGTGTTACTTTTTTTTTTTAAATATTTTAACAATATTTTTATTATGGTTTAATTTACATTGTGCTTGGTATTTGAAAAAATTCGTTTTTGATTTGTCAAAAACTTAATTGTAAAAGCAAAATGTAAAAATTCACCTTTATTTCAAGCTTTGTACTTTAATATAAACTACAGTGGCGCATATTCAGTCTAAAAACACATTGATATGACATTATTATTAAAAAAAAATCATAATTGACTAATATTCCGGTTTATCACGAAATCAACAAAGCACATTTCCGAAATTTGCCAGCAGATTTATTATATTAAAAATGTACTGGTTGATTTATTATAGTTTTTGTACGCCACTGTGAGTTAAAAATACATGGTTAATTGAAAAAGCTTCTAGAAAAATACTACGCACACCATTTTTTTTTTTTTTAATTTTTAGATTCAGATGTATCTAGAGTTATATCACAAAAATATAAACAAAAAAATGTAGAAATAGATAGCCACTGGAAATTGAGGAATTATTTTATTGTACAGGGTGTCCATTTCAATTGATTTTTAAATAAATCGACACTTTTGTAAGTTTGAATAGCTTAATGCGAACGAAAAATCCATTATTCTTCTCAGCAACGACATGGAACCCAGAAGTAGCCAACTTTATCAGTTTACCTAATAAACTGATTAAAGCCAGCTACACACCCAGAAATCAGAGAATTGGAACAATAAGGTACCTGGTCAAGATCTATATAAGGCTGGGACAAAATTTTCTTAAGATTGCTCTAAAGCTGGGATTTCTAACGAAGCGGGACTTGACGAGTCATCAGTTTGAAAAATCAGTTCACCAAGTGGTAAGTCAAAGGATGGATTCAAAATTCCTTTGAAATTTGTCATATATCAATGCATAGTTGTTGTGACTGAAATGGACACACCCTGTACAAAAATGTAGATTTTTTGTCCAAGCTTGAAAATTGAGAAAGGTATCTACTTAAACTAATAATATTTAAATCTGCAATTTATTATGGCTCCAACTGGTCAACTTCCACACCGTACGATTTGTTCTCACACCGAACCTCCAAATTCTTGACCAATTTTAATACACAAGTCTGATTTATATTTTTTTTACTTGTATAAATGGGAAAATGTTTTCTTCTTTATAATTTTGATTTTTCGACCTGGCGCGTTTCTCTAGTAAACCTAATTCAAGTCTTTATTTGTACCTGAATAAGAATATCAGATTTTTCACTTGTAAAAACAGTTCAGAAACTTTTTTCTTGGACCTGCGAGAACAAATCTATCAAAGTTATCAAGGAAACTAATCATCTTCGAAACTGGTTATTGAGTTATGGGCACAAGAAATACCTATTAATTAATGGGTTTGAATGGCAAAATGTTCAACTTCTTATTTTATAAAAAGTTACATTTAGACGGAAACTTTGAATAATTTTCCAGCAACATCTACAAATAAACTAAAAAAAAAACATCTTCTCCATCATCATTGACCAGGTTCGCAATCGAGCATTTCGTTACTTAGTTGGTCCACATCGTCATCACTATTTTTGGTTACTACTAGAGATTCTTGCGCAAACGTCGTCGCGGACTCTTCGTCAATTTCCGCTTGTTCTGCTGACGTTATCGTACAACTCCGGCTACTGCAAGCTGCGTTCGGCTCGAAAACGAATCGTTCGGGTGGAATTATTGAGCTGGCCGGCCATTCCGATGGAAGGCTGAGGGGCCGCGGGGTTAGTAGTTTCGGGTCCAGGGGCTGTGCTGGCTCGAGCCCCCTAAGCCCGTTTCACCAGCAAAAAACTGACAGTTCGCCGGTGTGTTCGCCTCCTGGACGCCAGGCGGTCACTGAACGAGCTTTTAACTGAAAATAAAGAAATAATGTTTATTTATTTATTGATTTGTTGAATTGCAAACAGAACTTAAAAAAATAAGATACATGACAAGGATTCTGGACAAACAACGCACACTCAGTTTATATTGTCACAACTGCCCGCTTTACGGGGGTGACATGGGGGGTTTGTAGCTTTGGGGGTCGATGGAGAGAAACTCGCTCAAGTGTAAATATATATTTTCCCAAATATGCCCTTACATGTACGCTAGTCCTATAAGACGCATGACCCTTCGGTATTGTCGATTAGTTATCGTCACCCTTATGCCTCGTCCAGAGGGGCTTTCCCAACGAGAGGTAATTGCACTGGACAACGATAAGGCTGAAGATACCCAGAGGGGCTTTCCCAATGAGAAGTACTTGCACTGGGGAGACTTAACTCCAGAGGGGCTTTCCCAACGAGAGGTAGTTGCACTGGTTTAAGTCTGCGTCTTGTAGCCCAATTTATATCCGATTATTGCTGAATTGCAATAAACATCCGACCGAATCGGCAATTAAATTAATAAGGTTGAATACCGGGTCCTCCTTTCCTAAACAACTAGTTGACAATATAAAAGACAGGTAGAGAAAAAAGCTATTCCTCTTAGGTGTGTCTCATTGACCTGACATAAGTTCAACATAATAAACTTATTAACACTAGAAAAAATAAGATAGTGGCCCAACATCAAACCCATCAGTCAAAACATGGTTTTTTTCCAAGAAGCCATGGTAAGATGTACCTAAGCTTGTAATAGACAAGTAATACCTTCATTACTTTGAAGTAGACAGAATTGAAAATCACACATTAACACCTTTTCGTGGGAGATGCAAGACCTTGCCGTAGTCGGAGGGCTCGCGTCCGGCGGTTCTCAGGGAAAGTCATTGTGAACCCCTGGAAACCCCCACTTGGGTCCAAAAAGCATCTCAACCCAATCCAAGATTTCAAGCAACCCGTGATTGGGTTGAGATGACCCTATCCCCCTCACTCATGGGACATATTATGGAAACACAAATAAAAAATAAATAATCCAAAAAACCAAGAGATGGAGGTAGAAGAAAATCCCGATGGTTCAGCCTCAACCAAACCATCTCTTGAAGCAAAATCGGTGGATGGTGCAGAAGGGGCAAATCTAAGGATACCACCATTCAAGGATGTCGCTCCCAGAATAAGGGTATCAGTGTGGATACCCAAAGAACATCTTAACCCGACAAGAACACTCCGTTGTCTAGAACTAAAAGGCTCCATTCTCGTTGTGGGAATAGACAAGAACTCTCTGAAGGTGCTAAGAAAGACTTCAATATATTAGCCTCACGATGCTAATCTTCAGGGTCTTCAATCCAAAACCCAAAAATGCCGCGGGTCCGTCAAATTAACCTACAGCATAAGAGGACTGCAATTGCTGTCTTCTGCAAAACCTTCGTGGCAGGAGGCATTGACGTGGCTCTGATCCAAGAACCCTGGACGTCAGGGAACAAAGTCATAGGTCTAGACAACATCGGAGGTGAGTTAGTCTGTAACTCAAACTCAGAGAATTGAAGAAGTTGCATTATTGCAGACAACAATATTAATGCAATAAAAATGACAAATTTTTGCTTTAGGGACATGGCAGCAATAAAGCTTGACTACCAAGAAGCCAGGGAACAGAACACTAATTAAAACTTCTGTGTACCTGCCATTTGACTCCCCTAATCCACCTGCATCTGCAGAACTGGAGAGATTAGTGCAATACTGTGGACTAAATAACCTACAGATTCTCATTGGAGCAAATGCCAACGCTCATCACACCGAATGGAAAAGTAGCGACATAAACCGGTGAGTACTTACTTGACTTCATTATCTTAATAACCTAGTCATTGTGAATCGGAAAACTAATATTACTTTTCTAACAAAAAAATAGGCAAGAACGTATTGATGTAACTCTGGAGTCTCTCGGAATCAGTGTTGCCAGGTCTCACGATTATTCGTAAGATTACACGATTATGGTCAGAATTTCACGATCTCACGAATGAGGTAGCAATTCTCATGAATTCTCTCTGTAGTAATATAAATCAGTAATCAAATATGTAATCGGAAATAATCGAAATAAAAAACTACCATATAATCTTGACAGATAAACCATTAATTAAGCGTCATTTGTCAACCAATTGGTCTTAACTGACGTTAAATGCATTGCTTATCTGTCAAGATCACCAACCGGCCAATCGCATAAAATTGGCTAATGAACAGGCTAACTCGAGTTTTGTATCCCAAAATGGCGGCGTGCGCAGATGAGATAAGCGTTAAATCTCATTGTTCTGCCATTTAAAGATAGGCTGTATCCTCGAAGAGATGCGCGTGAGATTGAACCTGCTGCTTGTTTTTCTAATGGGACTGCTTATAGAGTTAAAAGTGTCTGCAAAGTCCATGAGAATCTACTATTTGTGACATCAGGTGCAGACCTCAACTCTTGGAAGAAAATGCATTATCCGAGTCCATAAAACGAATTCATAAACGTTGAAATCGCCTTTTCTCAATTTAAAATTTCCGAAAAAAATAACCCACAAGCACAGCCTGAATCGCAAGCAATCCATCGAGGTCTGCGGGTGACGTTCCCACTATCAGTTGCTGATAGTGGTGACGTCACTCGCAGACCAGCTACCGACTCGAGTATTGGCGAACGTACGCCTTTTTAGAATAAGCAATCTTGCGGATAATGAAAACGAGGTTCACCTCTCAGAAACATCTGCTAAAAAACGGAAAAAACAAGGATACAAGATTTAAGGTTAAAATTTCTATTTTATGGATGTAAAATCATGTCCACTTTATAAAAAAACTATAGAAGAACATTTGTGCATTATTTTCTTACAAGCAATTTTAGGTCTCACGATTTCTCACGATTTTTCATTCTCGATTCTCACTAATTTTTTTTATTCCATCTGGCAACACTGCTCGGAATAAGCTCTCAAAGTAACTGAGTGCACACCGGTGCACAGAAAAGCACACCAACGGTGGAAACGCTCCTAAACCTCCCACCAATTGACCTTATCGTCAAAGCGGAGGCTAGAATCGGGGCATATCGTCTCCAGCTGAACGAAACCTGGAACCCAAAACCAAATGGACATGCGGCAATCACCAAAATAATCACAAACCATGGTAGCGACTATAGATGCCTAAAAAATCCCTCAAAAAACCCTTCGCCTTTGAGATTGTCCTAGTAGAAAACACCAGGGCAACAACTAAACAAGAAATTTTCTGGTTTACTGACAACTCAAAAACAGAAACTGGAATCGGCGCTGGAATATATGGACAAACTCCCAGATACAACATCAGTCAACCTCTGGGAGAATACACTACTGTATTCCAAGCTGAAATATATGCCATCGAATCCTGTCTGAGAAAAAACCTAAGACAGTCAAGTGTCGATTAAAGCACTCAACAGCTTTGAAATAATATCCAAAATTGTCTGGGAATGCTTGGAAAACCTCAAAAAGTATAGCCAACAAGGTAATCCTAAAATGGGTGCCAGGGCATAAAGGTATTGAAGGAAATGTAAAAGCAGTAAACCAATGGGTATATAGACAATACCAAACTTACTGGCAAACTTTTCGGAAGCTCAGACACAGTAAGGTAATGAAGAGATCCTACAACTAAACAGAAATCAAATCAGGCACTGGTTTTATAACTGGACACTGTAGCCTGGGAAAACACCTTCATACAATGGACATCCTCCAAGAAGAACCCACTTTGTAACGAAGAGGATGAAACCGCCACCCACATAATATTCGAATGTGAGGCTTCACTTTACGCTGGTTGAAATACGGACAGATAGGGCCAGAAGACCCTATCTCTAAACTCACCAAAAGTAACACGGTGAAGAGGCTCAAGGTCACGAAACTTTTCACAGACGGACAGGACAATACCACAGATCACCCAAATACAGATGCGTAAGTAGGTATCCTTGCCGTCATCGATTCAAAGCTACGAAACCGCGGCTCCGCAAGGAGGCCAGGGCTGAAACTTTGTAACGGATAGAGATCGTTATCGCTATGGCACTTGTTGTCTTCTTCTCTCTTGTCTAAATCAATAGAGAGAAAACGTCAATAGCGATAGAGAAAATATCTTTATTCGTTACAGAGTCCTAGCCCTGCCGCCTAGGTACAAGATCGTATGCGTCAGAACATTTATAGTGCGTGAGCGTGTTCCAGCCTATTGTGTTTACATATAACCTTGAAACACGAATTCACCGCTCTTTCGCATCTGTATGTAGGTGATCTGTGACAATACAATAAGCCAACGGCTGCAGTGTTGGGGACACCTAACCCAGCCTGTCCACTCTGCACTGTGCATCTCAACCAACCAACACCTTCAGTTTTAAAATATCATCTGCAAAATTTATGCGCACTGATAGTAAACTCAAAACCAAAATTATTGTATATGCAAGAAACAGTAACATATATAGCAACTAACAAGGTGGAGATGAGACCAGTATAGACTTGGACGCATTGGCTTAAGAGTCTAAAGACGGAAAACCAGAAGGTTGACAACTATTGACTTTAGGACAGCTCTTAGAAAATGAAGTAATGAGAATGTGATGAGATCCTTATGAAAATGACATAATAATATGTATTATTTTTCGATAACTTTAATAAATGTACATACATATTATTAAACAATTGCAACAGTTGTAATCCAGTTTTATAATACTGCATCGTAATGCCACCTCCTGAAAATTCATCATAATGAAATGGAGCGGGCGACGTTTTTTTTTTTCCATCTGAATTAAAAGAGATGCGAAAAAAATTTGCAATTTCGACGGCTCCGGAGGTTTCGGTTTAAAAATTCGCTTACATTGTTTTAATTTTTTAGAATGCCTATCGACGAGATGGAAAGATGGAACCCGAGTTTCGCTTGATGAACTTGGACAGAGGCGTCCTAGGACTTTTTTCTCTTACGTCAGATGTATATTAAACATTAAACGTGAGTTTTTAGTTATCACTTTAGACGCTTAGTTCCT